GATCCTGCTGCCTGTACCTGATCCCCGACCTCCCGATCCTGCTGCCTGTACCTGATCCCCGTCCTCCTGATCCTGCTGCCTGTACCTGATCCCCATCCTCCTGATCCTGCTGCCTGTACCTGATCCCCGACCTCCCGATCCTGCTGCCTGTACCTGATCCCCATCCTGCAGATCCTGCTGCCTGTACCTGATCCCCGTCCTCCCGATCCTGCTGCCTGTACCTTATTCCCGACCTCCTGATCCTGCTGCCTGTACCTGATCCCCACAGTCCCTTGTACCCCCCACCTGACTCATCATTCCGCTTTGTACATATAGTGTAGTAGGTAGGTGGATGGATTTCGCTCTCCTAGTTTGAATTCTGTCTCTCGGGGGCTGCAGTTCCTCTGAGCTCCACCAGGTGGTGATCTCACCTACACCCAGACAGGAAGTCTCTATGGAAAACGGACAGGAAGTGATGTAAGGTACACACAGGAAGTGATGTCACATATAAATTGAAGCTTCAGGGTAACAGAGTTGATACAAAGAGACATTGCTGGAAGTGGCAGCAGAGGAGGTAATTAGATATTATATATACACCCAGTAACCCCGCCCCCCCATGTCATGTCCGTCCTCCGTAGTCACTGCAACCTCTTTTATCTCCGGCAGGTTCCGATACAAATATATATATATTAACCCTTTCAGGGTCAGAACATTTCTCCACTTGCGGGAGCGGAACATTTCCTTCATTTTGGAGATGGGTCACGTTCCGCCTATTGTAATAGATTATATGAGTTGTATTGGGTGCGGGGGATGGGATTGGGCGAAGGGAGGGGGGGCGGGGTTACATAAAGGAAATATTATTCGGCTTCAGTTGCAAAAATAAACAACAGACTTTACATAGACAACTGCAATTCCTGATCCGGCAGATCGAAGGGTAAGAGACCCCAAGAACATAGCGAACGCTGAATGTTCCTCTGAGTGTAATCCCACCGGGGGGCCCGTCCGCCCTCTGTATTCCCGGAACTCCACCCAGGAAGATCTCACCCTCCCTCACCATGAGAGATGTCCCCGCCCCCTGTATTCCCGGGATCCCACCCAGGAAGAGCTCACCCTCCCCCACCATGATCAGGTAGGTGATGGACAATCTCTGGTGGTATCTCTGGGATCTGGACATCATCTACAATTGTTACCATTTATTATTATATTTTCAGAGAGATTTTAAAGTCATTGTTAAAGAAGAGATAAAAGAGGAGGACGGAGTGATGGAGGAGTCAGAGCTCCCTAAAGGACACCAGGAGAACATGGTGGAG